ATGATTACCTTGGAATTCGAATGGTCGATGAATAGATCAGCGATGTTTTGGTACCCGAGGGCTAAAGAAAATTGTAGAGGTGTATGTCCTTGACTGTCTTCTGTGTCAGAACGTGCTCCTCCTGCCAGGAGGACTTTAACGACACCAAGGTAACTAACAGCAAAGTGTAACGGCGTTCTACCACGATTATCTTCCTTATTCACCTCAGCTCCTAGGCCAATGAGATAATTGGTGACATCAAGATGGCCACTGAAGGCAGCAAGGTGTAATGCAGTAAAACTATTATTACTTTCCTTTTTCAGATCACCTCCTTGACTGAGGAGATATTTGTTGATATCAAGGTGACCATTGAAGGCAGCAAGGTGTAATGCAGTGACCCTTACAAAAAAAATCTATGATATTCCTATGGTACGGCTCTATGGTGAATGGTATTTCTATGATATATTATATGGTAGAATATATTTCTATGGTATACCACACAATTGCTGAATGGTGGAGTTCTATGGTCAATGGTATATCATTGATGCCGTCCTATGGTGTATGGTATTTCTATGATATATTATATGGTAGACTATATTTCTATGGTATTTCTGTTGAATGGTATCCCTATGGTGGAGGATATTTCAGTGGTAGCTCTATGGTGGATGATGACTTTATGGTATATCTATGGTAGTTATGTGACTCTATGGTGGTTATGTGACTCTATGGTGGCTCTAAAGTGAATGGTAGATCTATGGTAGCTCTATGGTGGCTGTATGGTGTATGGTATTTCTACGGTATGTTATATGGTAGAATATATTTCTATGGTATTTCTGTTGAATGGTATCCCTATGGTGGAGGATATTTCAGTGGTAGCTCTATGGTGGATGATGACTTTATGGTATATCTATGGTGGTTATGCGACTCTATGGTGGCTCTAAAGTGAATGGTAGATCTATGGTAGCTCTATGGTGGCTGTATGATGTATGGTATTTCTACGGTATGTTATATGGTAGAATATATTTCTATGGTATTTCTGTTGAATGGTATCCCTATGGTGGAGGATATTTCAGTGGTAGCTCTATGGTGGATGATGACTTTATGATATATTAATGGTGGTTAGTGACTCTATGGTGGCTCTAAAGTGAATGGTAGATCTATGGTAGCTCTATGGTGGCTGTATGGTGGGGTATGGTGTATGGTATTTCTATGGTATGATATATGGTAGAGTATATTATATGGTATTTCCGTTGAATGGTATATCCCTGTGGTGTAAGATACTTTAGCAGTAGCTCTATGGTGGATGATGACTTTATGGTATATTTCTAGTGGTTAGTGACTCCATGGTGGCTCTAACGTGGCACTTTTTACATAAAAAGGGCCCCTTTACTGTAAAAAGTGCCCCTATTATTTTTTTAAAGTGCCCCTTTTCCTTCGATAAGTTCCGGTTTTCCTTTGCAATAAGTGTCCATTTTCCATTCTCATAAGTGCCCCTGTTCAGATACGAGAAGTGCCCCTTTTCACTTTTGATAAGTGCCCCATTCACCTCTGATAATTTCCCTATTCAAATCTGAGAGGGGCCTTTCCCCTTTTAATAACTACCCCTTGTTTAACTCGGATAAGCACACCTTATATTTTCACATGTGCCCCTTTCCTTTCTAACAAGTGCCCCCATTTAAAAGAGAGCCCCTTCCCTTTATCATAAATGCCCCCTTTTCATCTATGAAAACAGTTCCTTTTCATTCTTAAGTCCATCTTCATTCTCATAGTCCCGTTCCATCTCTAGTAAATGACCCTATTAAATTCTGAGAGGTACTCGTTTTATTTTTGACAAGTGTCCCTTTTCCTCCTGATAAGTGCTCTTTTCATCTTCAATAACTGCCCCTTTTATTTTGCCCCATTTAAAAGAGAGCCCCTTCCCTTTATCATAAATGCCCCCTTCCCTTCCTAATAAATGCTCTTTTTCCTTCTTTTAAGTGCCCCATCCCCTTCCCATAATTACCCCCTTTTCATCTCTCATAAGTGCCCCGTTTATCTTGACATGTGCCACTTTTCTTTTTAATAATAGCCTGCACTTCCCCCTTCTCATAAATCCCCCCCCCCCTTCCCCTCGTATTAAATGCCCCTATTAAAAACTGATCGGTGCCCCTTTTCGTAAAACAAATGAACATTTCCCCTTATTATTAGTGCCCCTTTTTTATTCTCATAAGTGCCCCTTTTCTTTTCACCTCAGATAATTACCCTTTAACAATGATACGTACGTGCCCCATTTTCACCTTCTGATAATTACCCGTTGTAATTTGACATGTGCTCCTTTTTTTTTCTAATAAGTGTCACCCTTTTCGATAAGTGTCCCCTTTTCCTCTCTTCACGTGCCCCTAATTTCCAGCTACTAAGAGCAATATCACCCAAAGCACACCCGCATTTCTATAGATGTTATAATTATGGCACTTATCAAGGGTCTTTTCAGTCTTCTGTTATGATAATGTAATAGACCCATCAGGATTGGGTTTTTCTTCTTTATAATTGATGTAATTTTTCGCACTGCGACCTCACAAATCTTATTTATAAAGATAAAAAAAATATTGAAATTATCCCTGATAATCTAATCACAATATAGGGGGTATATACAAATGTTGTTTTTTTTAAATATATATGTTCGCTTTGAGATTTCCCTTTGTAGGTGCCCTATTTATTTTCTCCAGAAAGTGCCCTTTTTGTTGGTGCCCCCCCCCCCCCCCCCCCCCCCCCCCCCACTTTGGAAGTCGCTCCACTGCCTCTGTTTGCACTCAATTAGTCTCAATCAATTAAAGAAATCATTAAATTAAAAATTCTAAACCAAATTGTAACAAGTAATGTATATCAGCAGAAAGTAGATAACAAGGGCTGTTTGCTGCCACCTTGTGCCCAAGATTTGAATAACTCTTCTAGCCGTTGGTATTGGCCGTTGGTCTCCAATTTCTACTCACTGAAAATGCTTCGCAAAACTCCAAAATATGTGAGGAAGAGGAAGGTGTTCAAAGGAGATCAATACCAGATATTACAGAAGAGTAACATGAATGCTGGAGAGGTGCCAGAAGAACTAACAGCTAATTCAGAGATCGAGGAAGCTTTCCCTGAATAAGTGTTTGGACAGCCCTATTTTTGGCCCTGGTCCCACATGTGAAGATCCGCGTCATTAGTGGCCCACAACTTGCAGCTGCTTTGCAAAAGGCTCACGTGTGTCTGGGAGGTATGTACTTACTATCAAACAATATTTTTAGTTTGCAAACTGTTACTTAGAGATTGTATTGCATGCTTAAGGGGTGATTGGCTCAAAAAGCCAAATCAAATGATTAAGAATAGAGTAAAGGAGGGGGTAATCGACCATCACCAGTTTTCGGCCGATCCGTTGGATGCATGGTAAAATCCCTGTAAAATCCATCGCATAACAGCATATCATATATCCCACACATACCATACCATGCCAGAGTCACTGAAGAACCACATTTGCAATGGAAAATATATCCTAAAATATCACATTTTAGCGATGTAATCGGCGGTACCGCTCCCCGAATCTGAAAAATTAAGTATCTTACGCGTGTAAGGAATATGGGTACCATAAAATGAGCTTTATTTCAAGTATTTTTCAGATTTAGAGTCCGATTTTGTGTGAGTCGCAAGCTCAAAAGTATCTCATCGCATGTATTTAATCAATGCAGCCGGATACCGCAGCGCACACACGATATCTCTGTCTAATTCAGATTCCAATTTCTGATCACCGAAGAGGTAGTTTTCGGCACGGGAAGCTCCGGCTTGGGATACCTGCTCCGGCCGCTAGTGCTATAGATCAGTGGGGAAACGCATGGCGCGCTTGCTTGCTTCCTATTGACTTTGTACATGCGGCCGAAAACTGCCTCGCTAGGCCGAAAACTACCTCCGAAACGGTGAAAATTGAAATGAATGTTGTCATGGCAATTCATGATTTTTTTTCTGGGATTCTTTCTTTGTTTAAATAATAATAGTATTTGCTTCATGATTTGAACAAGAAATGATAATAAATAGGAAGTAAAGAGTAAAACAAATAGGATTTTGTCTTAAGTGGCCGAAAAACCCCTCCTTTACTCTATGGTGAATCGAAGTGGGGGCATCGGAATTGTCGTGAAATCTGTGAAAATGTGTATTTGTGTAATATATTACATGTATGTCATAACTAGCACTTTGTTATTATTTGGGGATTGTGCTTTTCAAAATATTTTCCCTGTTCCATAAAGTGTTTTGGATATCTTTTACAGGGCATCTCATTCCTCTGGAGAATTTGTCAAAGAGGAATGGGTTGAACTGCGCCATGGTCCTTGGTTGCTTCATTTGCAAGAAGGAGAGGACATTCTCTTCATCAGAAAATGAATGCGAAGGACGTGGAAAGTCTGCAGAAATAAACCGCAGAGCTACTCTGGCAGCAACGGAGGTTGGTTTGGCACGGGATAGCTTGTGCGACTTGCTGACCATCCTCGGAACAGCCCCACTAGTCGAAGCCCCTAGCTACAACAGGCACATAGCCACTTTATCTTCCTTATCCCAAGAGGTTAGTCACCAGCCTTGTGTTTTCTTCATTACATTATCTTAGCTGTACGTACATTTAATCCAAACATATTTTTATTTCTTAGTTATGGTCGATAGTATAATACATGTACATCAATATCCCTTCTTGTCAAATCAAGGGATGAAAATTAATCAAATCTAAATATTTGTAATAGGGTCTAATAAGTAAGGGGCCTGAGGGAACTTGAAATTTACTTGTTATTTATTACAAACTCTTTTTTTTTTGCAGACCAGTAAGGATCAGAAGAAGAAGGTGGCAGCATGCCTACGTCAAAGGGCCATGGACAAGGATCTGACCATCAGGGAAAATGATCATGTGGACGTGGCAGTGCCCTACGATGGAACATGGCATAGACGAGGTTACACATCGAATCATGGGGTGGGGGTAGTGATACCGATCGATACAGGGGGGATTGTTTGACACAGAGGGTCTATCAAAATCATGTAAACAGTTTGAGTATAGAAAGGGTTGGGTCTTCAGTGTTCTCAGCCAGAGGGACCTTGATCGCCTTCAGAGACTCCAAAAATGAGCAGCAAGGCTTGTATTTTCTGCTCCTCTTCGAACTCACATACAACCTCTTTGACTTGAACTTCATTGTACATGTTTATACAATGTTTTAGAACATTTCTGATTTTCTGTACTGCAACTCAGTGCCTTAGTTTTTATTGTACATGTTTATATATTTTTAACTTGCCTTTCATTTTAGTCACGTTTACATACACACTATATATGACATTTTAGTTATTTAGAGGAACTAGGGTGATATATATGTGGGTATTTATTACACCTTAGTAGAATAAGTCCAAGTAATATGTGTTGCAATTATGAACTTGCCTTTCATTTGAGTTTTTATTGTACATGTTTATACAATGTTTTAGAACAATCCTGTGCTGCAACTCAGTGCCTTAGTTTTTATTGTACATGTTTATATATTTTTAACTTGCCTTTCATTTTAGTCATGTTTACGTACACACTGTATATGACATTTCAGTTGTTTCTTTTTAACTTGCCGATTATTTATAGGAACTAGGGTGATATATATGTGGGTATTTATTACATCTTAGTAGAATAAGTCCAAGTAATATGTGTTGCAATTACGAACTTGCCTTTCATTTTAGTTTATAGTGTACATGTTTATGTGATATATTTTTTACTTGCCTTTTATTTTAGTTTTTAGCATATGTACATGCATACAACTTTTGATATAAACCAAATACATCCTGCCACTTCCATTCAATTCATTTTTTTAATAAGCATCATGTGTGTATTGTAAGTTAACATTTAAGTTTAGATTTCTCAAAAATTCAATATATTATAGTCACCATTCTGTGTACTATAGAATGCACTACAGCCACCATTCTGCTAACCATAGATCAAGACCCAAACTACCATTCTGAATATACCATTTCAAAATGCTACAATTAAGCGTAACATTTTGTTGCGTATTTTGAATGGTAGTGAATGGTAGATGAATGGTGGCTCTATGGTAGATGAATGGTGGCTCTATGGTAGATGAATGGTGGCTCTATGGTAGATAAATGGTGGCTCTATGGTAGATGAATGGTGACTCTATGGTAGATGAATGGTGGCTCTATGGTAGATGAATGGTGGCTCTATGGTAGATGAATGGTGGCTCTATGGTAGATGAATGGTGGCTCTATGGTAGATGAGTGGTGACTCTATGGTAGATGAATGGTGGCTCTATGGTAGATGAGTGGTGACTCTATGGTAGATGAATGGTGGCTCTATGGTAGATGAATGGTGGCTCTATGGTAGATGAATGGTGGCTCTATGGTAGATGAATGGTGGCTCTATGGTAGATGAATGGTGGCTCTATGGTAGATGAATGGTGGCTTTATGGTAGATGAATGGTGGCTCTATGGTAGATGATGGCTCTATGGTAGATGAATGGTGGCTCTATGGTAGATGAATGGTGGCTCTGTGGTAGATGAATGGTGGTTCTATGGTAGATGAATGGTGGCTCTATGGTAGATGAATGATGGCTCTATGGTAGATGAATGATGACTCTATGGTGGCTCTATGGTATATGAATGGTGGCTCTATGGTAGAATATGTAGGTGTGGCCTAATTTGAATAAATGAATAAATTTGTCCCAATTATTTTAATTAGTTCTATGGTAAATGAATGGTAGATCTATGGTAGATTTGCTATGGTGTTTGTATGGTAATCTATGGTAGATTTGCTATGGTGTTTGTATGGTGTACCATAGAGATTTTTTTTGTAAGGGGAAACCGTCGTTACTTTGCTTATTCACATCAGCTCCTTGACTGGTGAGATATTTGGTGACATCAAGGTGACCATCGTGAGCAGCAAGGTGTAATGCAGTGGAACCGTCATTTACTCCGTTATTCATATTAGCTCCTTGACTGAAGAGATATTTGGTGACATCAAGGTGACCCTTCTTAGAAGCAAGGTGTAATGCAGTTTCACCGTCATTATCTTCCTTATTCACTTCAGCCCCTTGGCTGAGGAGATATTTGGTGACATCAAGATGACCTTCCCGAGCAGCAACGTGTAATGTAGTTAAACCGTTGTTACTTTGCTTATTCACATCACCTCCTTGACTGGTGAGATATTTGATGACATCAAGATGGCCACTGAAGGCAGCAACGTGTAATGTAGTTAAACCGTTGTTACTTTGCTTATTCACATCACCTCCTTGACTGGTGAGATATTTGATGACATCAAGATGACCATTGAAGGCAGCATGGTGTAATGCAGTGATACCGTCGTTACTTTGCTTATTCACATCAGCTCCTTGACTGAGGAGATATTTGATGATATCAAGGTGACCATTCTGAGCAGCAAGGTGTAATGCAGTGGAACCGTCATTACCTTCCTTATTCACTTCAGCACCTTGGCTGAGGAGATAATTGGTGACATCAAGATGACCGACCTGAGCAGCAAGGTGTAATGCAGTTCTACCGTCATTTACTCCGTTATTCAGATCAGCTCCTTGACTGATGAGATATTTGGTGACATCAAGATGACCGACCTGAGCAGCAAGGTGTAATGCAGTTCTACCGTCATTTACTTCCTTATTGATACGAGCTCCATGGCTGATGAGATATTTGGTGACATCAAGATGGCCATTGAAGGCAGCAAGGTGTAATGCAGTGAAACTGTCGTTACTTTCCTTATTTACCTCAGCCCCTTGGCTGAGGAGATATTTGGTGACATCAAGATGACCGACCTGAGCAGCAAGGTGTAATGCAGTTCTACCGTTATTTACTCCGCTATTCATATCAACTCCTTGATTGATGAGATATTTGGTGACATCAAGATGACCATTTTGAGAAGCACCGTGTAATGCAGTGAAACCGATGTTACTTTCCTTTTTCACATCACCTCCTTGACTGAGGAGATATTTGGTGACATCAAGATGACCATTGAAGGCAGCTTGGTGTAAGGCAGTTTCACCGTCTTTATCTTCCTTATTCACCTCAGCTCCTTGACTGATGAGATATTTGGTGACATCAAGATGACCGACCTGAGCAGCAAGGTGTAATGCAGTTCTACCGTCATTTACTCCGTTATTCATATCAGCTCCTTGACTGATGAGATATTTGGTGACATCAAGATGACCCTTCAGAGAAGCACCGTGTAATGCAGTGAAACCATTCTTATCTTCCTTATTTACCTCAGCTCCTTGACTGATGAGATATTTGGTGACATCAAGGTGACTCCTCTGAGCAGCGAGGTGTAACGCAGTCTCAACGTCATTATCACCCTCATTCATATCAGCTCCTTGGCTGATGAGATATTTGGTGACATCAAGATGGCCATTGAAGGCAGCAAGGTGTAATGCAGTGAAACTGTCGTTACTTTCCTTATTTACCTCAGCCCCTTGGCTGAGGAGATATTTGGTGACATCAAGATGACCGACCTGAGCAGCAAGGTGTAATGCAGTTCTACCGTTATTTACTCCGCTATTCATATCAACTCCTTGATTGATGAGATATTTGGTGACATCAAGATGACCATTTTGAGAAGCACCGTGTAATGCAGTGAAACCGATGTTACTTTCCTTTTTCACATCACCTCCTTGACTGAGGAGATATTTGGTGACATCAAGATGACCATTGAAGGCAGCTTGGTGTAAGGCAGTTTCACCGTCTTTATCTTCCTTATTCACCTCAGCTCCTTGAATGATGAGATATTTGGTGACATCAAGATGACCGACCTGAGCAGCAAGGTGTAATGCAGTTTTACCGTCATTTACTCCGTTATTCATATTAGCTCCTTGACTGAAGAGATATTTGGTGACATCAAGGTGACCCTTCTTAGAAGCAAGGTGTAATGCAGTTTCACCGTCATTATCTTCCTTATTCACTTCAGCCCCTTGGCTGAGGAGATATTTGGTGACATCAAGATGACCTTCCCGAGCAGCAAGGTGTAATGCAGTTCTACCGTCATTTACTCCGTTATTCATACCAGCTCCGTGCCTGATGATATATTTAGTGACATCAAGATGGCCACTGAAGGCAGCAACGTGTAATGTAGTTAAACCGTTGTTACTTTGCTTATTCACATCACCTCCTTGACTTCGGAGATATTTGATGACATCAAGATGACCTTTGAAGGCAGCATGGTGTAATGCAGTGATACCGTCGCTACTTTGCTTATTCACATCAGCTCCTTGACTGGTGAGATATTTGATGATATCAAGATGACCATTGAAGGCAGCTTGGTGTAAGGCAGTTTCACCGTCTGTATCTTCCTTATTCACCTCAGCTCCTTGACTGATGAGATATTTGGTGACATCAAGATGACCGACCTGAGCAGCAAGGTGTAATGCAGTTCTATCGTCATTTACTCCGTTATTCATATCAGCTCCTTGACTGATGAGATATTTGGTGACATCAAGATGACCCTCCAGAGAAGCGCCGTGTAATGCAGTGAAACCATTCTTATCTTCCTTATTTATATCAGCTCCTTGACTGATGAGATATTTGGTGACATCAAGGTGACTCTTCTGAGCAGCAAGGTGTAACGCAGTCTTATCGACATTATTACCCTCATTCATATCAGCTCCTTGGCTGATGAGATATTTGGTGACATCAAGATGGCCATTGAAGGCAGCAAGGTGTAATGCAGTGAAACTGTCGTTACTTTCCTTATTTACCTCAGCCCCTTGGCTGAGGAGATATTTGGTGACATCAAGATGACCGACCTGAGCAGCAAGGTGTAATGCAGTTCTACCGTTATTTACTCCGCTATTCATATCAACTCCTTGATTGATGAGATATTTGGTGACATCAAGATGACCATTTTGAGAAGCACCGTGTAATGCAGTGAAACCGATGTTACTTTCATTTTTCACATCACCTCCTTGACTGAGGAGATATTTGGTAACATCAAGATGACCATTGAAGGCAGCTTGGTGTAAGGCAGTTTCACCGTCTTTATCTTCCTTATTCACCTCAGCTCCTTGACTGATGAGATATTTGGTGACATCAAGATGACCGACCTGAGCAGCGAGGTGTAATGCAGTTTCACCGTCATTTACTCCGTTATTCATACCAGCTCCATGCCTGATGATATATTTAGTGACATCAAGATGGCCACTGAAGGCAGCAACGTGTAATGTAGTTAAACCGTCGTTATTTTGCTTATTCACATCACCTCCTTGACTTTGGAGATATTTGATGACATCAAGATGACCACTGAAGGCAGCAACGTGTAATGTAGTTAAACCGTCGTTACTTTGCTTATTCACATCACCTCCTTGACTTTGGAGATATTTGATGATATCAAGATGACCATTGAAGGCAGCTTGGTGTAAGGCAGTTTCACCGTCTTTATCTTCCTTATTCACCTCAGCTCCTTGACTGATGAGATATTTGGTGACATCAAGATGACCCTCCAGAGAAGCACCGTGTAATGCAGTGAAACCATTCTTATCTTCCTTATTTATCTCAGCTCCTTGACTGATGAGATATTTGGTGACATCAAGGTGACTCTTCTGAGCAGCAAGGTGTAACGCAGTCTCATCGACATTATTACCCTCATTCATATCAGCTCCTTGGCTGATGAGATATTTGGTGACATCAAGATGACCATTTTGAGAAGCACCGTGTAATGCAGTGAAACCGATGTTACTTTCCTTTTTCACATCACCTCCTTGACTGAGGAGATATTTGGTGACATCAAGATGACCATTGAAGGCAGCTTGGTGTAAGGCAGTTTCACCGTCTTTATCTTCCTTATTCACCTCAGCTCCTTGACTGATGAGATATTTGGTGACATCAAGATGACCGACCTGAGCAGCAAGGTGTAATGCAGTTCTACCGTCATTTACTCCGTTATTCATTTCAGCTCCTTGACTGATGAGATATTTGGTGACATCAAGATGACCCTTCAGAGAAGCACCGTGTAATGCAGTGAAACCATTCTTATCTTCCTTATTTATCTCAGCTCCTTGACTGATGAGATATTTGGTGACATCAAGGTGACTCCTCTGAGCAGCGAGGTGTAACGCAGTCTCATCGTCATTATCACCCTCATTCATATCAGCTCCTTGGCTGATGAGATATTTGGTGACATCAAGATGGCCATTGAAGGCAGCAAGGTGTAATGCAGTGAAACTGTCGTTACTTTCCTTATTTACCTCAGCCCCTTGGCTGAGGAGATATTTGGTGACATCAAGATGACCGACCTGAGCAGCAAGGTGTAATGCAGTTCTACCGTTATTTACTCCGCTATTCATATCAACTCCTTGATTGATGAGATATTTAGTGACATTAAGATGACCATTTTGAGAAGCACCGTGTAATGCAGTGAAACCGATGTTACTTTACTTTTTCACATCACCTCCTTGACTGAGGAGATATTTGGTGACATCAAGATGACCGACCTGAGCAGCAAGGTGTAATGCAGTTCTACCGTCATTTACTCCGTTATTCATATCAGCTGCTTGACTGATGAGATATTTGGTGACATCAAGATGGCCACTGAAGGCAGCAAGGTGTAATGCAGTGAAACTGTCGTTACTTTGCTTATTTACCTCAGCCCCTTGACTGATGAGGTATTTCGTTGCTTTAAGACGTCCGAGTGATGCAGCAAGATGTAAGGGTGTTTGTCCATCTGGATTTGTCTTGTCCATATCAGCACCTTTCTTTATGAGATACTCAGCGACGGTTCTATGGTCTTTCTTCACCGCATTATGTAAACTTGTGTTTCCATCTTGGTCTGTCTGATTTATGTTAGCACCCTGTTTTATTATTTATTGGACGTTTTTCATTTTACCCCTCAATGATGCTTCATGAAGCTGTCCATTTATATCCTCCATACTTGAAGAAGCACCGGTTTACCAGACATCCTAATCTAGCACACTTCATTCTGATCGTCTACTTCTCTCATTACACTCGACTCGAATTGCTACGATTAAGATTCTGAATAATTTCTAGCAGATTCACCAACTGCATTCTGCCTGTTACAAACATCAGCAAACAACACACTGTTTTTTTCTTCTTCTCGCAATGTGTAGTTGTTATTTTTGTCGTTTTCAACAAGTTCCAAAGTCTATATGCAAAGTCCTATGCACTAAATCGCAATTAAAGTATCTGTCACTCGTATTCCACTGTTAGGCTTCTCTCTTTCCTCCTCGTTTAGGTCGACTCACACTATAACGAATATGGGGTACCGCAAGCTACGTTAAACTGACCTATTCCGCTAGCGACCGTCGGCAAATGTTCATCAAGTTAAAAAAATTGTGGCGGCAAAAAAATTCGTTGTGATTCCGTTCAGATTTCGCTGGACACCGCAACCCTCATTTCTTTGACGTTTCAATGCCCTGCTATTCCGTCTCTAGTCGTTTTTAGGTTAGTCACAATTTCGTTAGTAGTCGTTGTCGTTGTCAACGACCATTATTAACGGCGAAAAACGGCAAGTGACGTCACATCTCGAACCCTGACGACACATTGCGCGGAAATTAACTAAATTGTAACGACCTTGGTGCGACGATGGATCGCTATTTTTGGCCGGAGGGTGACGGTTGATGACTGTTGATGGCGGGTCATTTGCGAGTACCTGCGGCATTGCAACAGTGATCTGCGATGGGTAACGATTTTGCAACGATGGTCGACGATTTTAAAGTTTTAGTGCGAATTTTCACGTTTTGTGACCCGCACACACAAAGGCTTTGATGTCGGCCGTTGATTCACGTCTTCGTCGTCGCAACCCACTGTCAGCCGCCGTTCTTTGTCGCCAGCCAATCCACTGCCACCCGTCTGACCTTATTCCTTGTTGCCGGGCTCCGTCGAGAAATCGTCAGCCGCCGCCCAGACAACGTCCTATTTTGGTCGCTAGACTCCGTTCCCTGCTGCAGCCATGCGTTCATTGCCGTCGTGTTGTCGCTGAAGGTCGTTCCCAGCGAATCTTGATTTTCCCGTTTTGCCGACGCTTTGCCGCCAAAATGTGTAATTTTCACGTCCGTCGCCTTCGCGGGGTCTTTGCCGCTACTATGTGAGCCGGCCTTAATATTTCGGCTATTATCAGCATTTCAATAGATATCAAATGAGTGCAGTTATGACCCCCCCCCCCCCTTCCATTTCACTCTTAAATAAAGGGTGGACAAGTTTGTTCTGTTCGTCTTATCAAGGAGACAACCATTCACATGAAACTACGTATACATTTTCAAGGAGAGAAATAGTAATGACCAAACAAAGGAGAAGCGGTCTTCGTTTTACGTGGTTTATGACACAATTCGTATAAAGTAGCATAAATTACTCTCTACTGACGTATCTTACTACAAAATAATTAAAACACTAATTATGCGTGGAGGATGCTGATTCCTATCCCCAAAAGGCCATGGAATCTTTATCTAGTCTAAGAGCCTTTTTTATGTTCTGCTGGTCTGTTTTTTAACAATGGATTAATACAAAACCCCTTTGTTAACTCCGGTATTTAGATGTAAATAATAAAGCGTACATTCCTTCGTAGAATTGTACAGAAATTGACCGGAAGGCCCCTGTACCCCCCCCCCCTCCTTCGCCTCCCTCTCCATGTGTATTACATCCTCTGTAATGCAGACCGCTATCGTACCATTTTCGGTTGCTTTCTTTTCCTCTCTACAAGGTCGCTTGTTTACCACACATGGACATTTGCAACAAAACAATAGACACTAATTTACAGAATGATTGTTTTGTGCAGTACAATGGCTTTGCAAAAATAATCCATGTCTGGTCTAGAATAGCTCCATGACAACACTTATGTTGACTTGTTTTGCCCCGGAAAGAGTTACATAATCTTGAAACCTCTGGTATATCTTTATATCCCATGATACATGTAAATACTATGTCGCACAGTGAGACTATTCGTGTTTTATGTATATCTTTAAAAAAGTTAAATCGGTAGCCTTTAACAACAAAAATCCTTAAAAAACATGTCAAAGCAGGTTTAATTATGACGTGAACAAATGACAAGTCTCCGTTTATATGGTGCTAGTAGTTGATGAATAACAGAATTATCAAAAATATATATAGATTATATTTGCGTTATGATAAAAATATCAAAATAAATGTAAATATCATTTCGTGCAACCCCGCGGCGTTTCCTAGTGAACTTTGTAGTTTGCGTAAGATAAGTACTTATTTGTTAATACGCTGTACAAATCTTGATAAAATATGCTCACATGTTGGGTAGTACAGTTGCCAATTTGTATTTAATGTAAGCAAGTAACAGTAGTATTGAACATAGAAATGTGAAGAAATTCGGGTTTTTGAGAGCGTAAAGATCTAGACGGGATAGTGAGGGTAGGGTTCTTCTTCTTTTCTTTTTTTTTTTGGGGGGGGGGGCCTTAACATCATGATTTTTTTTTAAATTAAGCAATCACCTTCATCTGTAGTTTCGATCTTAAAATATACTGGATAATTATGTAAGGCAGGGGCCTTGTGAAAAGCGGTTTTGGAACTGACAATGCCACCATGACTTAAAATAAGGAGGAATGTAATACATCAAGGAATAAATGATCATTCTACTCGCTTGTCGACTTGTTTCATAGTTTCATCTAGCCTTAACCACAGACATGTTATTCTTGCCTCAAATTATAAATTTAAGCTCAAAGGCTGACAGTTATTATGGAGTAACAGTCCTATGTATATATAGGCTAGGAATATTGTGTCCTTTTTTAGGTAAACGTCAAACAAATTGCAATAACA